GAAGGTGGGGGGAGGTTAATGGGGGGAAAGGGAGACTCATGTAACACTTTCAACAATAAGGAATTTAAATTAAAACAAAAAAGAAAGGAAGAAAAGCCACCCACATTGAATGCTTACCATGTGGCAGCTCTGTGCGGAGGCCTTAACAGATGTTCTTTCCTCACAGACACCCTACGAAGCTGGCATTCGTTATTATCCCAATTTTATTTATTTTTTAAAGGTTTTTAAATTTATTTTTTAAAATATATTTTTATTGATTTCAGAGAGGAAGGGAGAGGGAGAGAGAGAGAGAAACATCAATGATGAGAGAGAATCGTTGATTGGCTGCTTCCTACACGCTCCACACTGGGAATGGAGCCCACAACCCAGGCCTGGCCCTGACCGGGAATCAAACCCTGACCTCCTGGTTTATAGGTGGACACTCAACCACTGAGCCAGACCAGCCAGGCCTATTATCCCGATTTTATAGATGGGAACACTGGTAAGTCAAAATAATTTCCAAAGTCCACAAGAAACCTGGATCAACACACACACACACACACGCACACACACACACACACACACACCTGTCCCAACCTCTTTCTGATTCCCTACCAGTGGTTCTCAACCTTTCTGATGCCACGACCCTTTAATACAGTTCCTCACGTTGTGACCCAACCATAAAATTATTTTCGTTGCTACTTCATAACTGTAATGTTGCTACTGTTATGAATCGTCATGTAAATATCTGATATGCAGGATGTATTTTCAGGGGTCGTGACCCACAGGTTGAGAACCGCTGCGGCCTACGCCACGCAAAAAATGGTTGTGCTCTGCCATTAGGAACTGTGGCACACTTTATTACAAGGCACTAGACAAAGATGTCACTACGGCAGCTTACCATTATGAAGCAGGAATTACTAAGGACATTGTGACCCACTGAAGCCAGGAGAAGGCATGTTGTCCTGACCTATCATGGTGAGCAGCTCCTCTCGGTAAGAGTTCACACCGGTTAGGTCAGGGTTCCCTAAGCTGGCCTCTTCGGAAGACATACCAAAGGCACTTGTCACAGTTATAGATTCTTGCCCATCAGCACCCCCCACCCGCCTCCCCAGGGATGTCCCGAATCCCAGTCTCTCAGAGAAGAACCCAGGAACCTGTATTCTAACGAAGCCCACCACAGGCGACTGCGATCAGGCAAGTGTGGAAAAGGCGTCATAGTGAGCCCCCTCAGTCTAGACCAATGGCTCCTAACCTTCTTTTGGCCACGCCCCCCTAAGCATCTCTAAAGTCCTGATACAACCCCCCCCCATGACATATAATTCTTATTATTCAAAAAGTGAGCTCCTATTCACGAGGAGGAAGCCTAAAAGGCCGTTAACTTGGTCTAAACAAGCTTCCAAAGAACATGGCATCCATGAAAGAAAAATTAAAAAAACACAAGGACAGTGGAAGTCCTGAGGAAGAAATCACCAGAAATTGTTTAAAATAATAATAATATGAAGTGATATGGAAAAATAGCAACGTTTCAAAACATATACTAGAGAACTGAAATGCATAAATATGTCACAATCTATATTTATATGTTGTATAGGAGGCCCCTAGAACCGTAAGAAATGCAAAAAGTTCACTGTTAATAACTCATTCTTGAATTGCCCCCCTTAAAATCTAACCGCCCCTGTGGGGCGTGTGCCCACATCGGGAGCCACTGGCTAAGAAAAGCAGATGCAAATACTCTGGGAGCCCCGTGTGACCTGCCTTTTGACGACCTCCCTGGTGCTTAGTAAACAGGTTGGCTGCTATGCTTTCCACTGCCAGACTGACTGTCGGATGGAGCCAGCGGGGATGGAGCAGTGCTTACCGGGAACTTAACCCAGTTAAGTCGCGTGCTTTCCTAGTGAGGGAGCCAGCCGCCCCGTCCTGGGGAGATAGGCCACCAGCTACCGAACCTGGGGAGATAGGCCACCAGCGGCAGAACCTGGGGAGATAGGCCACCAGCTACCAAACCTGGGGAGATGGGAGATAGGCCACCAGCTGCCGAACCTGGGGAGATAGGCCACCAGCGACCGAACCTGGGGAGATAGGCCACCAGCTACCAAACCCTCCCACCTCCTCTCACAAAGCCGTCAGAGACAAGAATGAACAAAAACTTCACAGAGAAAACATCATCACAGCAGCCTCTCCCGCCGCAGGAGCAGCTTAGGACGGGTGCGCTGGGGTCCCCTGTGTCTTCATTTGTGAGAACCTTCGAAATGTCAGTGAATTTGAAGGTCTGAATCCCTAACCCCCGCCTGTCACCGCAATGCAGTGCTGCGCCTGTGCATGTGCCTGGATCCCTGAGACCAGAGAGCGCATCTGACTGTTCCCATGACCCCCTCCCCCTCGCTCAGGTGAAAACCACGTGTCATCGCCCTCCCAGCCCACCTCTCAGCTCACGCCTGTCAGAATGCGGAGCGGACGGCACCAATGCTAAGTCACGCTGCCCACTAGCAGGCCCAGGAGAGGCTCGCTGCGCAGCCATCCAGCTCGGGAACAGGACTCACGAGCCCGCTCTGGAGGCATTTCATAATTGTAACGAGGCCGAGGGAACATACGTCTCGCCGTTTTTCTCTTTTGCACACAACTGCAGAGCATTAGAATATGGAAACTAAAAATTGATGAAATTGTCAGGCGATACAGGCAGATGACAATTATTGTCAGAGATTTCAACGCAGCTCTCTCAAGAATTAACCCAAAAAGTACACAGAGATCAGTAAGGATACAGATGACTTGAACGACCCTAACGACATAAAAAAGAAACAAGCGAAGTCATACAAAGGCTGTTTTCTCACCACAAGGGTATGACATGCGAAGTCAGTAGCAAAAAGGTCTCTGCAAAATCCCCAAAGATTGGAAAACGAAATCATAGATTTTTTAAACAACCCTGGGTCACAGGAGAAATCAAAAGGACCATTCGGAAGTACGTTGAGCTGATGGGGGATTCTGCTACAGGAGCACTCCACTTCTACATGAGAATAGATGGCAGCTCCCAACAGGAACCCCAGCTCCCACCTCAAGAAACTAGAAAAGGAGCCAATGAAATCCCAAGTCAGCAGAAAAATAAGAGCAGTAAAGGTCAGAACAGAAACCAATACAATAGGAACCGAAACACAAGAGGAAAGCACTGAAATCAAAGCCTGGTTCTCCGAGAAAGTCAGGGACAGTGATAACCTGTGGACACCCCGATGGGGGAAACGCAAGAGGACACAATAGGATCTGGAACGCCCTGAACAGCGGATCAATGAAGGAGCCCAGATTCTGAGCCCGGCCTGGCCAACAGCCACACCAGGGCCCCATGGACTCGTCGGGGTTCAGAGAGGCATCCCAAATTGACAAACAGGTTGAGTGCTGCTCGTGTAAAGTTTTCCTAGATCCACAAACGTGTCTCTAACAAGTGTAATAACCTTCCAAATGACACACTTGCAACCCAAACACTGCCACCAACACATTATATATATATTTGTTACTCTCTAGGAATCTAGAGTCTAGATGAATTTGTAATGAATCTTTTAAATTACTTTTTTTATTTGACAAATTGTCTGACTTTAAACATTAAAATATTTTTAAAAAATAGATTCTTAAATTCTGTACTTTGTAAAACAAAGAGTGTTTGCCAGAAAAACAAGAATAGTTATGGCTTATATTTCAAGGATGCTTCGTGCCTGGCCACACACCCGAGTCCTAGCCAAATTCGGGTTTGGGATGGGGCTGCCTGCTCTTCATAGGCGCACCGGGAAGGAACTACAGGGTTAATCAGAGCGACCGGATGGGGTGGAGGAAAGAAACTGAAACAGTCAGATCTTTCCCTCGGCCTCTCCTCTGAACGAGGCTGATGAATGAGTTCATCTTCCACACAAAATAGCCTTTGTTTTCCTCTGAGCTCACTGGCTGGCCGCTGCGGAGAAGGGGGAAGATGGTTTGCCTCAACTTGCCTACTTACCGCTGGAGCTATTCCTTTTCAGGTTCATGATGCAGGCAAAGTATTTCTTGAAATTTGCCTTTATTTCCGTGTTAACCACTTTTGCCCAAACTTTCACGTGAACATATTCAAGCCTCCAGAGAAGTTGAATTAATAGCACAGATCGCACCAGGGGCCCTTCGCTTAGATCCAGCGGCTGCTACCATTTCCCCACATTTGCTCGCCTCCTGCTCTGTGTGTGTTTCTGCTGAACCATTTGAGAATACACTGCAGCCATCATGACAATCCACCCTGCGTACTTCAGCATGAAGTCGCCAAAGAAGATCATACTCCACGTAAGGTTCAAGAAATTAATCTGGCCCTGACCGGTTTGGCTCAGTGGATAGGGCGTCGGCCTGTGGACTGAAGGGTCCCAGGTTTGATTCCGGTCAAGGGCATGTACCTTAGTTGCGGGCACATCCCCTGTAGAGGGCGTGCAGGAGGCAGCTGATTGATGTTTCTCTCTCATCGATGTTTCTAACTCTCTATCCCTCTCCCTTCCTCTCTGTAACAAATCAATAAAATATATTTTTTTAAATTAATCTGTTGTGACAATCTCTCTCACACACACACACACTCACACGGTGTCGAGGTTCCGGCTTCCCTCTGTCCCAGTGATGGTTTTTAGAGCGTCTTGTGGGCTCACCTGGAGCCAGTCAGGGACCACAGGCTGCGTTCAGCCGCCCTCTCGCTGAGCACTTTCCAACCCACACTAAGCACCTGTCTGACCTGCCACTTGCACTTAGGAATCTCAGATTCAGAAGCAATAACCCTTGACGTCAAGTCCCAGCACAGACGCACTTCCAAAGGCGGAAGGAGCCGTCTCATTAAATCATCCTTTTGCATAAAAGACATAACTCGCTGAGAAATGGTGCAGGGCAGTGCAGTCCGGTCCTCACACACACATCCCCCATGAGCCATTGGGGGAGGGGCATTGGCACATCCGTCTGTCCAACCTCCCATCATCTGCGCGAGTCAGAAACCCCGTTTTTGTGGCAGAATGGAGACGGAAGAGGAGCAGACAGGGGCCGAGAGAGAAAGCGGAGATTATGAGGAGGGAGAGGGGCAAACCCATGAGATATTCCCAGGTAGAAACAGCAGAGCTGGATGGCCATTAGCCGTGGGCGGTGAAGGAGAGAAAGGAGTCAAGGTGACGCCACAGCTTCTACCCCAGGCTCCTGGGCGGGTGTGGGGG